TGTGGAGCGGCTAGGCCCGTGAGCCACAACTACTGAGCCTGCACGTCTGGAGCCTGTGCTCCACAACCGGAAAGGCCCTGACAGTGAGTGGCCCGCACACCGTGATGAAGAGTGGCCCCCACTCGCCGCAACTGGAGAAAGCCCTCGCACAGAAACGAAGACCCAACACAGCCAAAAATGAATATAAAATAAATTAATTAATTAAAAAAATTAACATACAAAGAAGAACGTAGCAGCAGCAGCAAAAGCCCACTGCCCAGAATAAGCGGTGCTGTGGCTGGATGGTCGTGATAAGACATTTTTTCCATGTGTAGGTGCAGAGGAAATACCAGAAAGAAGTGTCAGATCATGTCCCCTAAAAGCAAACCTGACCCGTGCCGTGGGGGGGTCACCCTCCCATGCCCGCCCCTTCTGCGGGATGAGGCAGCCCCTACCTGCCAGCTGTAAGCAGTGGCGGGGGGGGGGGTCGCAGCCCCAGGAAATGCCCAGGACGTGCCAGGCTCACAGGCTGGAGGCGGAGGACAGATGAGCAGGCGCTAATGGGAGGGCCTATCACCCCCACACGCAAGGAAATCCTAGCTTGCCCTTGAACTTGACAGAGGATGGGAAAACGAAGTCAAACCAAAGATGGTGCTACCTGAAAGCTCGTTTATCTTCAGGGCACGAGCTACAATCTCCTGGAAGAACCCTGCAATACGGAGGAAGAAAAGTCTGCATGGACCCTTCCGCATCTGGAGGTGGACGCGCCTCTGCCCCGGGCTTCCATCCCGCCCACGTTGGCCACATCTGCTTAGAAAGAGGGCCATGTTCCTTTCCTCTTCCTCTGGCCTCCCCTCTCCCTTCTCTGCATTTTCAGGGCTTGTATTATTTTACATTATCGGGGTTTATCATATTCATATCCACTCCTGCCACCCAAGTCCCCTCGTGTTTTGGTCCTTGTTCTGGGTCCAGTGCCCACCCCCGTGCCCCCAGCAGCCCTTCCTGAGTCCTTTGCTCCCGTTCACTGCTTTGGGGTGGCTGAAGTCGGTGTGCAAGGGGGCGCCACGGCCCCCGATGCGGCCACACCCCTCTGCTGACCAGGTGAGGCTCCTGTCTTTCTTCTCACCCTCCGGTTCTCCCACCTGGGAGTCTATGAAGCCCCCAGAGCAATGGCTCCAGGTAGAAGTGGGCTTGGGGCTTGGTTTAAGCATCAGTGACCTCTTGTCCTTTCATGCCAGCCCTGAGCCCCTTCAGCCGGTACAGCAGGTCCCGGTCACCCCAGCCTCTCTACTGCTGTCCTCAGGAACTCAGGCGAGAGCTCAGAAGGAGCTGAGTTCCTGCTGAGACTCCTCAGGACGCCACCAAATCTATGTGCTTCGTTCTCCTTTAAGACGGGCCTCCTTCCTCTGTCACCCTCATTAGAATGTGACAGAGAAGTTGCCAAGGCAACGGCACTAACTCTCCCCTCTCCTCCCTGCAAATTTCCTAGCAAGTGGGGCCCAACCCACGTGAGTTGAGTCGTCCGGGCCTCCAGTGCTCAGAGCCGGCGGGCTACGTGCTGCCCCTTCCTCCAGGCGCTGTGCCCAGCCCCCATCTCCCAGGCCTCCACCCTCCCTTCTCAGCCTCCCTGGGTACCCACTGTCCTTGTTGAACTGAATGGCAGGGGTTGACTGAGACCCACTATGTGACAGGCCTGGCCAGACAGAAGCCGTCTCCGGGCTGCGGGCACCGGCCTGGCGACGGCCATGGGCTCAGACCCAGGGCCCCAGCTGCCTCCCCTCAACAGCGTGCGGGCTGGTGCAGCCGGGCGGAGGCTTCTAACCTTGGGAAGTCGTCTGGGGAGGAAAGGTGGCCGCTTCCGGGTGCGATGCACTGTCACGGTGGAAGTGGCGAGCAGGGCAGCTGAGACCATGGCGCTGGTACCTTTCTCATCCCTGCTGTGTGCCCGGCCTGTGCTGAGGGCTTACAGGTCTTCCCTCACGACCCCCCAGGCCTGGTGGGAGGTGATGTTCACTTTGCAAGTATTCCTCCAGGAGCCAGTGGCACCGAGACCCCCCTCCCTTGGTTGCAGCCCCCGAAAGCCTCCCCTGCAGCCTGCCCTCCTACCTGTCCAGCTGGGCTCCCAGGAACCATCCTTGGAGCCACTCTCGGGCTTCAGCCCCATGGCCTTCCCCAGCCTCCCTGCCCCCAGATGACTCCTGTGACAGCTCCGGCTCCAACAGTCCCTGTGAACTAATGACTTCCCCACAAGGGCGCCCTGTGCTCCCAGGAGTCCGGCCTCGGCCCCTCCCCAGCTCCGACTCCCCAGCTGCTCTTACACACGTGGTCCCCTCCCCACACACACGGCACTGAGCACATCGGGGCTCCCACCAGGAGATCCACAGTCCCAGGCGCTGTACCTGCTCTGTCCCGGGGGACTGTCTGCCCCGTTCGCACGGCCCTTTCCCGACATGAGTCTGCTCCTCCCCGTGGGGCCATTCGCACGAAAGGTGGCCGTTTTCTCCCCTCTTATTAAGGACATCTCTTTCCCTTTCTTCCCTACACCATCACCACACCTCTCTGCTCCCCTTTCCAGAAATCAAGGTCTCCACTCACTGTGTCCACAGGCTCTCCGCTTGGTCTCTCCTGAGCCCACTGCTCAGAGCTGCTGTGGTCCAGCTCAAATTGCCAAACCCAGCTATCAAAAATGAGTCTTTATCTCACTTGAAAAAATCAGCGGCACCCCAGCGGGTTAATGTCCCCTCCTCCCTGGAGCCCTTCCTTCCTCTGGACCCCGTGGCCTCCACCAGGCCCTCTGTGGTCCTCACCACCTTCCCGCCTCCTGAAGGTCTCTGCCAGGTGCTTCCTCCAGGCCCCGACACCAGCCACATCTCTATGCTGTCGCGCATTTGCACCTGGTGCCGACTCTTCCCTGAACCCCACACTGGTAGCCGAGTTCCAGCCCGACCGCTGCCCGGCTGGTACACAGCTCTGTGCACCCCACCCAAGCCAGGCCAGCTCCCGCCACATTGCTCCCCGTTCTGGTGCACAGCGATCCCACCCTTCCTATTGCTCAGACTAACTCCCCAGGAGTCATGCCGGCGTCTCTCTGGAGGCTCCAGGGAGGGTGTTTCCTGCCTTTCCACTGCTGGTGGCCGCCGGTGCGGCCGCCGGTGCTCCTGGGCTGGCGGCTGCATCACTCCAGCCTTCCAGGCCAGCATCTTCAAACTCTCTGCTCCATCTTCCCCTCGCTTCTCCTCTGTGGGTGTCAGTCTCCTCTGGCACCCTCTCATAAGGACGCTTGAGATTGCCTTGAGGACTGCCTGGATAACCCAGAATGATCTCCCCACGTCGAGGTCCTCGGCTTGATCCCAGTTGCAAAGGCACCTTTTCCGTAAGAGGTAACGTTCGCAGGCACCAGGGAGCAGGATATGGACATCTTCTGGAGAATCGTTTTCCAACCGAGATCAGGGACAGAAAACAAACAAGCAAGCAAGTAAAAAGGCTGGGGAAATGCTGCTCGTGGTAGGTGTGTGAGGGTAAGGATACTGGGCCGGGACGGCTTTGGGGAGAAGGTGGCCAGGCAAGCCGTCTGAGGAGTCCATGTGGAGGGTGGGCAGCATCCCTCTGGAGGCCATGGGGTTTGGAGAAGGGAGGTGGCGGGGTGTGACTTGCACTCTGGGAACTCTGCCTCTCTGTGAAGAAGGGAGCTGGGGAGTCAGAGGGGGACCACCGGAGGCTGCTGCCCTGGGGCAGCTGAAAGGGTCCCAAGAGGGATGACTGGACTTGGCTGGAGTGAGAAGCCTGTGGAGACGTTAAGGAGCGCTGATGCAGTGTTTTGTCCTGAGACTGGGGATGGGACGTGCTGAGGGCTGGGTGTGGGGCTTGGGAGTCGAGGATGGTCTAGAAGCTGGCTTGGGGCTCTGGGTGGGGAAACAGGCTTCCCCTGCAGGGAGAGACGCAGATCTGGGTGGGGCGTGGTCGTGGGTGAGTAGCCTGGGAGGAGATGCCGTGTCCAGGGGCCGAGGGGGAGGCCATCTGCTGTCCAGGGCGTGACCACAGGTGGAGATGGGCTACTGGGAGTGGGCAACCCCCAGGGGTCCGATGGGCTCTGCGAGCTGGGTTGTCAGAGGAGACAGGGCTGCAGGGACAGGCGGAATGACCCAGTGTGAGCCCGGGTGGGAGGCACCTGACCCTGAGGCCAGGGCTCGCCAACCTTTGCTGCTGTGGGGTTGGGTGCACTCGGTGTCCCCTACATCTCACCTGAGGGCCCAGCCCAGCTCCTCAGCCCGGGCCTGGATGGTTCCCGTGGAGGGGTTCCCATCCTGGTAGCCCACCCAGCCCCTGGCTTTCCTCCTGGTGGGGGGAGAGGGAGGGACGGTGCAATTGTTAAACCTGCTGTGCTTCACGGCGCTGGGGACGCGCACGTGTGAAGTCTGTTCTCACTGCATCTCTATTTAAGCCTCGCTGCTTCCACTTTTTCAGAGTGAGGAAATGGAGCCCCTATATGCAGCAGAGCTGCAGGGCTGTGGCGTCCAGCAGTGATCTTCTCGCCCCACCACATTGCCCTGCTGGGATGAGGGTCAGAGCCACCCTGCACCCCAGCCCAGGGCTGGAGACCTCCTTCCTAATTCCACGCTTGCAGCCAAGAGCCATCAGGAGACACAGACAGGCCAGAGATCTCCCACTTGCTAAACAATGAGCCTCAGCCAGGCCCAGGCTAGAAGCCGTTGTCTGTCTCCTGCTGTTGCCTCATTTTTCATGTGGGGAGACTGAGGCAGGGACAGGGGAGTCACTGCCTCAAACCCAGGCCCCTCAGGATCCAGAGCCAGGCTCTCCCCTGCCCGGCTGCCCCTCCTCCACACGAGGCCCCACTCAGCCCCGCGTCCGCATCTGCAGAGACACACTCTGGAGTCTGCAGCTTCACCTGATTGCCTGGTTCCCCCGGGTGCAATTTGAGAACAAAGACAACAAGGAAAGCAAAGGCCGTGAAATGCGCTAGGGAAGGTCGCGGTTTAGAAAAAAGAAAGATAAAATAAGGCACATCATCTTCCATGGGCTCTCCCGCTAGCGTTTTGTCAGCAATGACAAAAAGATTGGAGCCAGTCTGAAATTCTGTAGCCACTCTGCCATTTAGGGAAGATCCCCCCGAGGACATTCCGGGCCATCCCGATGCACGGAGATGAAGTGCGTAACCACTTCTGGGTTACTTCTGAAAGTCTTTGTTTTGGTTAAGAAACGCGGGGCTGCTGCAGGTCCTGGTGGGAACTAAGACCCAACAGGGGGCACTTTCCGGGCTTGTGAGGCGATGGCCCCAGCAGAGGGTTAATCAGAGGTTTCCACGGAGCTTCTGTCTCATAAGTAATGGATCCACGGCACCAGCATCATGCTTCCTTTTGGGGTTTGCTCAGAGGGCACAGATTTGGGAGAAGTGCAGGAGGGCCTGGCACAACCTGGGCCCCAGAGGTGAAGGTCTCTGGTCCTTGTTCCTATGGAGACAGTACAATTATTTCAACCGCAAAGAGAGACTGGATTACTTCTTTTCAGATCTGTATGCTTTTACTTCTTTGTTTTCCTTCTGCAATGACTAGACTCTCCAGGAGCCACGAGAGCAGGAATCCCTGCCTGTTCCCAATCTTACGGGGAAAACCTTCGCCACCATTAAGTATGGTGTTAGCGTAGATTTCACGTACCTACCCTGAATAGCTCTATTCTGAGGTCCCTGAGAGTTTTATCAAATTTTGTCAAATGTCTTTTTTCTGTATCTAATTTTGTCAAATTTTGTCAAATCCTTTTTTTCTGTATCTATTACAGAAAAACATTTTGTCAAATGCTTTTTTTCTATACCTATTACCATGATCATGTGGGTTTTCTTCTTTATTCTGTTAATATGGTAAATTATGTTGATTGATTTTCGAATGTTAAACCATCCTTGTATTCTGAGATAAATCCTACTTAATTGTAATGCGTATCCTTTTTAAACGTTGCTAGATTTCCTGAGTTGCTAGTATTTTGTTAAGGACTTTCTTGTCTACAATCATAAGAAATATTGATTCATAGTTGTTCTTTTCTTTTCTTGCAATGCCTTTGTCTGTTTTTATATTAGAATTATGCGGGCCTCATGAAACAAGTTGAGAAGTTTTCCCTGCTCTTCTGTTATCTGAAAGGGTTTGTGTAAATTTGATGTTATATCTTTTTGAATGTTTGATAGAATTCACCAGGGAAACCATCTAGGCCTGGAATTTTCTTGGAGGGAAGGTTTGTTCGTTTTTATTTTGAAAAAGCTCATTTTAAAGAATAGCTGTAGAAATATTCAGCTTTTCTCCTTCATCTAGTGTAAATTTGGGTACGTTTTTGAGGAAGTTTTCCTTTTAACCAAAGTTGTCGGATTTTTTAGCGTAAAGTTACTCATGATATTCTTTTATTAATTTTTAATGTTAATGTTTTAATTTTTAAAATTAAAATTTTAAATTTTATCAGCATTAAGTTATTCATACTATCTTCTTATTATCTTGTTAAGATCTGAAATAGCAACGATTCTTTTATTCCTGACATTGATGATTTGTGTTTTTTCTCATTTTGGGGGGTTAGTCTTACTAAGGTTTTGCCAATCGTTTGAGCTTTTTGACAAATCAGCTTTTGGCTTTGTTTATTGCCTCTATTTTTTTGTTGGTTTCTTATTTCTTTGATTTCTTTCCTTATCTTTATCTTTCCTCCCTTCTATTTACTCTGGGTTGATTTTGCTCTTCTTTTAGTTTTGAGGTAGAACCTTAAGTTATTGATTGTAGACCTTTATTTGTCTCTGATACAAGCCATTTAAAGCTATACATTTTCCTCAAAGCACTGCTTTAACTGCATCCCATAAATTGTCATAAGTTGTCCTTTCATTACCATTCAGTCTGAAGTATTTTCTACTTTTCATTGTGATTTCTTCCCTGAGCATGGATTGTTTGGATGTTGTTGATGTCCATATGTTTGAGAGTTTCCGACATATCTTACTGTCCTTGATTTCTAAGTCAATTCCACTGTGGTCAGGAAACATACTCTGTCTGACATCAATTCTTTTAAATTTATTTTATTTGCTGTGTGCCTCAGAATATGGTCTGTCTTGGTGAGCAGACCATATGCACTTAGAAAAAACATGCATTTTCCTTTGTTGGGTGTAGTGTTTGATACATATCAACTATGTCATGGTGATAGATAGTGTTGTTCAGGTCCTCCAAGTTTTGGTCTCCAGCTCTTCTGTCCATTGTCGGGAGAGGGGCATTAAAATATTTTACTACAATCTTGTGTCTCTTCCTTCAGCTCTGTTGATGTTTGTTCCATGTACTTTGAGGCTCTGTTATTAGGTGCACACACTGTCACGATTGTTTTGTCTTCCTGATGAATTGGCCCTTTTATCTTTATGAAATGTCCATCTCTGCCTTTGACGACATTCTTTGTCTTGGTGTCTATTTTATCTGATATTAATAAAGCTACTGCAACTTCTTACTTGTATTCTTTGCATGGTATATATGTTTTCATCCATTTACTTTCAACCTGTTTTTGTCTTACTAAAGTGCTTCTCTTGTAGACGGTATAGAGTTGGGTCTTGCTTTTCAAAAAAATCCATTCTGATACTTCTAATAGGAGTACTTATTCTATTAATATTTAGGTGTATTATTTTATATTTCTTTTCTGGTTTTTCCTCTGTTTTTTGTTGTTTGTTATTGTTGTTCCTTTCCTACTTTATTTTGGATTATTTGACTGTTCTAAAAATAATTCCATTATAATTTACCTTTGGACTTTTGAGTTGTATATCTTTGCATTGTTATGTTAGGGATTATTTAGCAATTACAATATACACTCCCTAATTTTTCACAGTCTGTGTGGGTTAATATTGTGCCACTTTACAACTCCCTAGATCCAGTCACACCTTCATCCTTCATGCTATCATTGTCAAATGTACTACTTCACATGCATTATGAACCCCAAAGACAGTGTCTACATTTTCCTTTAACCAGTCACATGTATTTTAAAGAAATTAAGGGGAAAGTGGTCACTTTCTATTGACCTCGATACTTGCCATTTCTGATACCCTTCATTCATTCCTGAAGGTCCACATTTTCACCTGGCATCGTTACATTCTGCCCGAGGAACACCCCAGCATTCCATGTAGTGTAGCATCTGGAGAAGGCTGCTCTTTCCTGTCTTATAACAAAAAATGTCTTTATTCTTCATTGTTGAAGTTACTCTAAGTGGATGTAAACGTCTTGGTTGAGAGGGTTTTCTTTAAGGATGCCCTCTAAGATGCCATTCATTTTCTTGGTGGTTTTTCTTTCTCTTCTTCACGTTGGGTGATTTCTATCAATATATTCAAGTTCACTGGTTCTTTCATCCGTCATCTCCAATCTGCTAATTAAGCCCATCTGGAAAATTAAATTTATGATGTTTTATTTTTCCATTCTAAAATTTCCATTTGGATATTTTTACATTTTCTATTTCTCTGCTTGATTTTCTATCTCTCCATTCATTGTGAGGGTATTTTCCTTCCCTCATTGACATAGTTAAAAATGGCTGCCCTTGTCCACTGATTTACATTTGGTCCATCTCTGGATCTTTTCCTTGTAAACATACCACATTTTCCTGACTCTCCAATCGTTGAATACCCTTGGAAACTATTATTGCTTTTCGGAGACTTTGGATTCTGTTGTATGGCTCCAAAAGGTTGGTATTTTTAAGGCAGTTTACTTGGTTAGACCCAAACTGTGAACTCTGTCACACCTGTGGATGACTGAGCCTAAATCCCAATTCACCTGCTTTTCGTCTGCTTCATGGGCGTGTGCTTCAGGGTCCAGCCACAGTCCCAGATTGAGCCTTTGTATAGAATATGGGCTCCCCTTCTTGGCTCTCTCCTTTTCTGGGTCCCCCTCACTCTTGCCTGGGCTCCTTCCTGAGGTTCGTGCCCACCAGAAGGACAGCAGGTTTTCCCATAGGAGTGCTAGCTGCCTGGCACTGACCCTGTGACCAGGGCCACCCTGTGGACACAGCTGCAGAAACCTAAGACTCTCCACACACACTCACTGCCTCCCCTTTCTTATTCCCATCCTATATCTGCCTGCTTACGTCCACTCCTCAGAGCCTTCAGCTCACCTCACAGACCTGGAGATTTGTCTCTTCCCCACTCTGTCTGGTCCGCAGTGCTGCTTCCCTCCTCACTGCCCTTACGTCTGGTCCCCTGGGTGGCCTGAGGACCCTGAGTATTCTGAACTCAGTGCAACATGTCCAGTGTTATAGCAGGAGAGGGGGAGAGGTGTCGTGGGGCCAGGCCTGTCTAAAGCTTGTGACACAAGGTCAGAGGGCACACAGCAGGCAGAGCAGGGGTCAGTGGGCAGGCAGAGCCAGGGTGTCAGGCAGTCACCTAGCCTAATGTATCTGATGAGTCTTTCCAGCTCTGGAATGCTGCTGTGATTCAGAACGAGAGAGCCTGGCTCTTCGCATGTCCACTGTGAGTTGAGTCGTCCACCAGCTGTGGAGGGTCAACCTCCACATCCGGCCCCTGACCCATGACCCTCCTGTCTTGGAATGAATGGAAGGCAGCCCCTTCCTGTACAAGGTATTGGCCACTGGGGTCTGGGCGCCCCCCACATGGCAGATCACGCCTGTGCCACACACAGCCCACGGCTCCTGTGCCCGGGGTAGGGCTTCTGGCTTCCTGGTTGCAGTCAGTTTTCTCACCCTTGCCCGTGAACCAGAAATAAGGGAGCTTATGGATGGCGGGGCAGCATATGCGGGTGTGACTCCAGGCCTGGCAATGACTGCCACAGACCACGGTGCCCACTGAAGACTTTTTTTCCAGCTGGTGTGTTATGGACAAGATGTGGAGGAGACATTTTTGGAAGGAGCTGACATTACTCCTGGAAATGGGAATGGAGTTTGCACAAAATCCCCCCAGGAATCCTCCCGAGTCTGAGGTGAGCTGAGCTGAGTTGAGATGGAGATGGAGGTGGGGGTCGGGGAGGGGATGGAGGTGGGGTGGGGTGTGGGAGGGGTGTGGGAGGGGGGTGGGAGAGGGTGGGGGGGGGGGGGGTGGGGGGGGGGGGGGGGGGGGGGGGGAGGGGTGGAGGTGGGGCTGGGGTGGCCAAATCTCCCTTCTGCAAACAGGGCTGCCAGACTGGCTTTCAGATGAGCAGCTCCCAAGCATCTAGTTTCCAAGGCCGTGTTCAGGGAGCGATGGTGCGCTTGTGTAACACACTGTTTTGTCACAGACGAAAAGTATTGATTGAACCTCTCAATTCTCTTAGCAGGTGCAGGGCCATCCATCCCCATTAGCTGCGACGTGGGGGATTTATTCTTTAAACAGACGGCCATCTGTATGGGGCCCCTCACCACCGGCCAGGGAGCTGCTGTGGGAGACGTGGGCATGTTGAGGTCAGCGGGCTTTTTCCCCATCATTTCCCGTGGTACTTCCCCCTCAGGCAGCCTTCTGCTCTCCAAAGAGCAGAAGAAAATAGGCCCATTAATAACCCAACCAGGCAAATTTGGGAGTGTGAGGAGAGATGAAACAAAAACATTCCACACCTAGTCAAGTTCCTGTTGAAACTGATTTTCAGAGCTCAGCACGGGGTCCAGAGCGGGGAGAAGTAAGGACGCAAAGCACAGCTCAGGCTGGCTTATTGGCCACTTGCATCTCTCAGGGTGGCTCTCTGTTTGGGATCTGGGGACCGAGAATCCAGAGAGCAAGACAGGGCGACCTCCCATGGGGCCCAGAGGCGCTCCTGTCCTCCAGTCCAGTGACCGCTGTGCCTTTAATGGAGTTTTCAGGTCACTTGGGGACCTGGAGTGTGGGACAGGCAGGATTTGAGGGGAGCTGGCTTCAAGGGTCGTTCTGAGCCAGAGCAGGAACCACCTGGCCGGGGAGCCCAAAGACCCCTTCAAGGCCAGGGCTGCTCAGCCCTCACGGCACAGTGGCAGAAGCTCAGCCCCCTTCTCTGTTCCCTGACCCTTGAGAGCATGCTCTGCTGGCCCGGGGCAGGAGGGGAGGCAGCTCTGTGGGCTGGGGTGCACCCCTTTCTCACGCTCCGGCTTGTCCCTTCAGCCTGCCCAGCACACAAGTGGGTGGGTCTCACTTCAGACACAACAGGGATGGTCCCTCGCCCCTTCTCCCAGGATCCAGGCCACCATTATCCCCAGGATGCTGGTGGTGAGATCCCAGCCCAGCAGCTATGGGAAAGCCTGAGGATTCAGAATCCCATAAGCGGCCCCGTGTTTACACAGTGCAGGACGTTTAGCTTGTTGTGATGGTCCTGGATGGCAGCTGACAGATGCCGAATGGCGCCTGTATCCTTGGCGGTCAGCGCTGCAGGGCAGTCAGCAGCCAACAAAACACAGCCCCACACTCCCCCTCCCCACTCACCCACCCGCACCACAGCCTGGGCCCTGGGCAGCCTCCGTGCCCACTGGCTTCTGCTTCTGACCCCCCCCCCCACAAAACGATGACTGGATCTCTCTCACCAGCACGTTCCCCAACGATGAGAAACCCAGACTGTCCAGTCTTGGGGTGCTGCAGACCCCACTGCATTTCTTTGCCTTCTTTTACCCCAAACCAACTCCGAAGAGCATCTGACTCTCTGACCCAGCTCCCTCCCCGCTTCCCCCACCCTGTGCCCAAACTGCCCCAGCACCCTGTCCAGCGGCCCCACCCCTGGCAGGCCCTTTGGTCAGTTCCCATTGGCATCTGACTCCATTTGGCGGCATTTAGAACCGCAGACGGCACCTTCCGGAAGCACTCTCTTCCGTGGCTCCCGGGACGCTCCTGACGGGCTTCTCCCCACCTCTTCTCTTTCTTTCTCCCCCATCCTGTCCTCTGCTCGAGCATCTCTCTGTGTGGCCTGGGAGAGTGGGTCAGGGGTCAGGCGGAGGGCTCATCAGGGTGGCACAAGGGTCACATTCCCTGGGTGCAGGCATGCAGGTGTGCAGGCATGCAGGGGTGCTGCCATGCAGGGGAAAGTCGGAGAGAGAGGAACAACATGGCTGGAGGGCCACCTCCAGGGTTTGGGGAGGTGGGTACTGAGAAGTGGGGTGTGGGGTAGTCCCCGCAGAGAGGTCAGGTTCCACCAGCAAAGGCCACGGTGGGGAATTACAGAGCAACCTGGGCTCCTGGGCCGACATATGGGACTTCCTGTGGGAACCTTCTGGAGACACTGTTTGTGCCCAAGTGTGATTTAATGGCACTGCTCTGGGGGTGGAGCGCAGAGCGTGTCGTACTTAGAAAAGACCTTGTCGTGCCTTTCCAAGTACAGCCCGTCCCACTTTTGTGTCCCATTTGGGCCAAGCAGCCCCCGCGACCTTCTCCCAGAGAAACACTGCGCGAAGTGTCTCCTTCCGCTGCCCCAGGAGCTGCGACCCAGAAGACGGAGGATGGAGGCTCCAGCCAAAGGTCACGTTCAAACGGTGTCTTGTTTGCTCAACTCCTGCCAAGGCCGGTGAGTGGCTGGAGGATACACCCCGGTTCCCTCTGAGTCCGCAGGGGGATTTGGCAAGCGCGTGAAGGACACACCAGGACAGCTGGGCTGTGGTGGTCACATCGTCACGACAGTGTGACACTTGCTGACCACTGACCCAGAGCCCCGTGCTCCGCCCAGCCCCACGTGTAGGGATTTAAGGGCCGCGGAGTAGCCTCAGCATCCGTGGTCACAGGGCTGTCCTTGTGGTCCCCGTGGATCAGGGACCGGCCCCGTATTCCATGCAAGGAAGTCACGATGTGCGGTCCACACTTGCAGGAGTGGGAGTTACCCTTCACCTCCTTGAGGGCGGGGTCGCTGCACACGTGACCTGGGGCTCTTCTGCGGGACAGCTGTGCCTCTTCCACCCCATTTAGTGACTGGCTCCATCATTTCCTAAATCAGTATGAACGCACACACATGTATTTTAAACTTTGAGATACAACCGGATGCTACTTTATTTTGTTGTTCAAATAGTTCCGTCTTTGGCCACTGGGAAGTCTTTCAGGTTGGTGACTTCGCCCCTTTGACAGGCCACCGTGGTATATTTGTGCGTGTCTGTGTGTGTGCGTGAGGACACTGCGTTACTCCCTGGCGCTGCAAGATGCTCCAGTCTTGGCTTGCCCAGTCTAGAATCGGCCATTTCTTCAAGGAGCCCCAGAGCCTTTAGTTAGAGAAGAGAATGCTGTTAGAAACCAAGATCTGGGATCTGGGTGTGCTTGTTGCCCTTGGGGTGTTGTTGCTTCCAGGCCCTTTCAGCCGTAGGAACAAGGAGACGGGTGTGTGAACACTCACCCATGTATACTCACACGTCTGTAAACATTTTCAGACATGGCCATCTGTGCTCTGAAGGCCCTCGGGAGCGGGAGGAGTGAACGCAGTAAAATGAGAACCCTGGCGGCCGGGTAGAGAATGGAGAGTAGGGTTGGATCCAGGGAGGCCAGTGAGAGGATTGTGACCTTCACCTGGGGGAGAAAGGAGGTGACCTGAACTTAGCATTTACAGTGGGGGAGACAGGAAGTGGGTGGGGCTCACGGGTGTCTGGGAACCAGAGAGGACAGGGTCTGGGAGTGGTGGGGGCAGGCACGGGATGCGGAGCTGGGCGGGATGATCCTGGAGAGATCTGGGGGCCTGAAGCGAGCTGGCACCACTCTCCTAGCTGAGGGTGACAGAAGGATGAGGGGTGTGTGTCGGGGCTGGGTGATGAGTTCAGCTGGATTCACTCCGGTCCAAGATACCAGGTGAGCAGGACATCCCTGGGGTGACCGGCAGAAGGCAGGAGGCAAATGAGTCTGCAAGTAACTGAGAGATTTCTGCATCCCCCAGCACAGAACCATCAAGAACCGTCCCACCCCTCGAAAACTCTCTTACACTGCCTTTTTGCAGTCAACCCTGACCACCTCTAATCTCTTCTCATCCCTGGAATTTCGCCTTTTGCAGAATTTTGCATCACATTAATTATGCAAATAATTTTGCAGAAAAGTGCACCCACGGACAGCGATCTCTGTGTTCCTGCAGTTCCCAGCGCACGGTTGGCTACAGACCGGGCACCTGGCTCACAGCAGGCAAAACACCCAGCAGGGACGTGACCCCTAAGGTGGTGCCTCCCAGCGTGTGACCCAGGGGCCTCCAGCATCAGCATCTCCAGGGTGCCTGTTGACTACAGGTTCCCAGGCCCCACCGGCCCCTCCAAACGAGACGCTCTGGGCCGGGAATCTCGAGGCCAACGCTCACCAGCTGAGTTTACATCCTTTCTAGGTTTGAGGACCGCACTGAACAGAGGCAGCTTGTCTCTGCTGAGCCTCGCGGGACAGGCCCCGGGGCACAGGCACGATGTCGGGACAGAGATCTCAGGAGTGATGTCCTGTCATCACCTCCAGTCCTGCAGCCCCAGTTCCCACGGAATCTGGGCGAGCATCGCAGACTCTCCAGCCTCCTCTTGCTTCCTGCCTTTGCTCCCATGACTGGGAAGTTCTCCTTCTGGTCCATGCAGAGGCCACCCCAACATTCTGAGCCTCTGGGGTGCCGCTCCTCTCCTGGGAACACTTGTCCCACTTCATTCTTAGAGCCGGCCCCGTTGCTGCCGGAGCCACCACCACAGCCCCACCGTGAGAACCTTTCTTGGACCCTCGGCCGGGGCAGTGGGCATGAAGATGGGACGTGGCATCGGGAACAAGTGCCCTTCACGGTTCTTTATGATGGCAAAGGCAGTGGCAGGGAAGGTGGCCTGGCAAACCCCATCTCCCTGCTTGCGTGGAACACGTAGGTCACTATTTCCATTTCAAGGGGGCGGCTGTCAGTCTGCCTGTTGTTAAGTGCGGGGCGTGGACAGCAGATCCCAGGCCCTGACCATGGCCAGCAAGGGTAGGGGTGGTTCCCTTTCCCTCATGGACAACGGGCCCCAATTAGTCAGGGCGGCCAGGAAGCTGCTGCAACCAGGGGGCAGAGGGAGGGCCAGGCTCCCTGCTCTGCCCCGGGGGATCCGCCTTCCCAGGCGGGCCTGCAGGTTTCAAGCTGCTTATCGCCCTCGTGATTATGAAAGTCATACATTTAGAAAACACAGGGACAGTGGACAGACGAAAACGAGCGCTGGTCATCTCACCTAGCAGAGACCATCACGGGAGCTGCTGTGGACCAAGGCCGGGCATCATCCCCTGACCCTCCTCCAAACTGTGCACGTTTTCCTTAACCTTCTAATCCCGGTACCACTGAGGAGGCTCGGAGCTGGAGGGGAAGCCACCTGTCCACGACCTGCCCGGGGGGACCCGTACGGAAGGCTGTGTCCACAGCCTGAGTGCGGGAGCTGCCTTCACCCCTTCATCCAGGCCACTCCACCCCCTGCTTCCCTGGGTGGCTGTCCTCGGCGCTCTGTCCTGGGCTTGTTCTACTGTGTGCGTGTGTGTGTGCACACGTGTGTGCGCACATGTGTGTGTTAGAGCTGAGATCCCGTTGCTCATATGAAAGGGGTATCTTTTGTTCAACACGTAACATCCTAACATTTGTGTATCCTCCCCAAACATGCTGAGTGAGCAGTTCCCCCAGGAGCAGCTGGCAAGGGGGTTGGCAGCTTCTTCCTGCCAAGATGCCAGTACTCACATGACCCCGTTTCCCCTAAGACCCCTTGGCCTTCCACCTGTGCAGGTACAGGTGCTCACAGTGGGTCTGCAGTGGAAAGATGAGGCCGGCCATTTCCTAGGAATCCTCTTGGGCCTTGTATGCCAAGGAACAAGCTTTGGGAAATGCTTCGTGCGGGGGCTCACAGCCAGGGCCCCTGGAGTGAGAGAAATCCAGGTGATGCTTTGGGTACAGAAACATCATCTTCTCAGCTGGCAGAGAGGGATCTCTGAGCGTCTCCGGGAGGGACACGTGACCATCCTCAGATCAGTGGCCCAGGAGGGAGGTTCAACCATCTCTAGGAAGCAAGAACTCTCCAGTGCCAGGCTTGCCAGGCGGAGAAAGAGTGGGCATTGGCTGTGCCCTGCAAGGGTCCGGCCACACCCTGGTTTCGCCCTGGGGGGGCAGGGCTGGCAGGAGGAAGGAGAGGCACGTGCTGAGGCATCCTCTTCCCCGGGCAGCCCTCGGATGGCCTCAGCCGTGGCCAGGGCAGGGAGGTCCCACACCTAGGAAAGAAGGAACCTTCAGGCAACGAGACCCTTGGGGCTTGGCTTTCAGAACCGCTGGGGAGCCCAACGCCTGGAGGTGACAGGTAGCGGATGGGAGGTCAGAGGGTCTGCAGTTCTGTCTCCCCTGCCCCTCGGTTCCCTCAAACCTGAAAACGGGCAAGGTGGTTTCCAAGATGCTTTTGGCTGGGAGGCTGACACCCCTAGAAAAGGGTGTTTCCAGGGACCAGGGCACTGAGACCCTTGCCTCCAGCTCTCTGCTTCTACCAATCTTTGGGGTGGGTGGGGGCAGTTCACGGTACAGAGGCTGAACAGCCCCAGAGACCTGGGGCGTGGACAAGGGATCCCAGGAGAGGCGTTGGAGGTCACCGTCCAGGGAAGGGAGAAGGTGGGGGGTCAGGCCTGGGCCCCTGGTACGGAACAGACCATCCCTGAGCGGGGCCCCAGTCGGGGCACAGCTAAGGCCTGACTTCCTGCTGTGTTGGTCTCACGCCTCTTCTGTGCACGGAGGCCCTGCTGCCTCCACACCGTCTCCAGGTCCTTCGCTGGGATGAGGTGAGGATGAAGGATGCGGAAAGACTTTCATCAGCCATAAAGCACCCTACAGATGCGAGCTAACACTATTATTATTGCTGTAATTATTGTCATTCCAAGTGCACAACGATGACGGATGGCCTGTCGGTGGGGATGAGGGATCCAATCTGCCAAGAAACCGTCATATTTCAGCACGATAATGCTTTGAAATCCGAGGAGGAAAGGGCCTGTAACCAAAGGCATTCAATGATCATTGTATTAGAGTCCACACACATAAGACCTGACTTCGTACAGAAAAAAGTCACCCATGAAAAAGGCTTTTCCCCCATCCCTTGCTGCCTTCAACTCTGGGACTTAAGAGATAAAAGTTCAGAATCCAATCAGGAAGAGACTTTCTGGAAGCTTTGGCCCAGTAGACAGCCAGCAAACTCCCTCTTCCCTCCCAATAGGATGGAGCTTAGATAAGTGTGAATTATTGTTCAACGCTCTTCCCAGCCCAGCTCCCACGGCTGCTCATCGGCGTCTCCACCAAGGCTGGCTGGAAGGTCAGACCCCCTGGCCCTGCGGCTTCTGGTGCCTTGAGCCCAGGTCAGAGGGTCTGCAGGGCCTCGAGAGGGAGCCCACAGTTCCTGCAGGGGTGGCAAGGCCAGACTGCGGGGCTGAGCCCCGGGGCCCCGCACACTGAGTCCCCATAGCTGGGAGTGCCTCTGACCGTCTGCTCTCCCCGCCGTGGGCCCTGCTGGCATGTGTGAGTGAATGAACCAAGGTGCCTTGTAGGAAGCTGGCTGTGGGTCCTCAGATGGCATTCGGGGCCGTAAGAAGCCCCTCTGGCCCAGGAACTAGTCATCAGTGTCTCCTAACTGCAGGGAATTGGGCGAGCAGAGCACATTGCTGGAATCAGGCAATGTTCTGATCTCCCAGCGCTCTCGTCGTCCACTACAACCACCAAAGCCCCCTCAGCCCCTCAGGCCATGGGCATCGCTCCATGTCCTGGAGCTGGGTTCCATCCTTCTTCCCTGTGTCCAGCTGCACAGCCGAGCTTCGACACCCCCAGGCCTCCAAGGAAAGTGGGAAGCTGTTTACAGCAACATGGCAGGTGACCAACAGACTGGGCCAGGGCAGGACATAAGGGCCACCCCAGACACCGCCAGGACGCCCAGTGAGCTCCTGCAACCCCCAGTGAAGTCATCCATCTCAGGGCAACTGGTAGACGGGGCTCCTGGACTCCAGGACGGGGAGCAGAGCTTTGCTGAGACCACTCTGGATGGAGGCACTGCTGCAGGGCTTGGCGTGCGGGAGGCTGGCTTCCCCTGGGGTTTAAGTGCTGCCAAGACGTTTCTGGGTCTTATTTGAGGAGCCAGCCTCAGAACTGAGGTGTGCGTAACATCCTCTCATGACATATCCCAGGAAAGGGGCTCCGTGGAGGTCTCACGGTTCCCAAGGCCGTGGGCGGGGTCAGCGTGGCCTGGTGGAGAAAACGTGAAAGTAACACGAACCCCAAACCAACCAGACCAGGTGAGGGACAGACCTGAGCAGGTTCAGCGCTGCTCGGCCGGCAGCCACTATTTCCATCAGCATCTAGCCCTGCAGCTGGGAAAGCCCAGGCCGCCAGGACAGGAGAGACTTCCACCCAGGCCCCAAGAGGCTTCTCCCCCCGGCCAGTGTTCTGGCTGCCGCCACAAAAGACCACGCTGGGTGGCCAAAAACAAGAGGAATTCATTCTCTCTCAATTCTAGATGCCAAGGTGTCAACAGGACCTCGCTCCCTCCAGAGGCTCTAGGGAAGGAACCTGCCAGGCTCTTCCAGCTCCTGGAGGATCCAGGCGTCCCCAGGCTTGTGGCCAAATGAATCACTGCAGTCAGTCTCTGCCTCCGTCTTTACGTGGCTTCTCTTCTGTCTGGGTCAAACGTCCCGCTGCCTCCATCCTATCAGGATCCTTGTGATAACATGGGGCCACCTGGATAACCCAGGGATATCTCCCCATCTCAACATCCTTAATCACATCTGCAAAGACCCTGTTTCCATATAACGTAACATTTACAGGTTTTAGGGATTGGGACCAGTTATCTTTGGGGGCCGCAGGCTGGCTGAGCAGACCCGGGCAGGGGTCCCACAAAAGTAGAAGCCCAAGGCTAAAAACTTCATAGAGTCTCAATGTACCATTGTCTGCAGCCATTTTTCAGTTTAATTGGTTTGAAATGGATTTGTCTGGGGGGGATGTCCCAGGAAATAAACTGGTTTAATAACACCTCCCATCTGTGTAGTGCATCCCAGCTTCAGAACTGGGGAACGTCCACGTACATCTATTATCTCTTTAGCTCTCCATGGCCCCAGGGCGGGGCAAGTGACAGTGATGTTCAGACCACCACAACCTACCCGTGGAGGGGCCACCCCTCCAAGCCCTGGTCTGGGTTTGCAGCTAACAAGACAACCCACAGGTGTCCACCTTCAGCCCAGACCACAGGTGGCTTGGGACCCAAAGATACAGC